CTTTCGCAGCTAATTACTCCAGGACGTTCCGAGTAGCCATGGAGCTAATGATTTATGAAACAGAACTACTCAGTGTTTGGGTTGCTTATTTTAGTCACATCTTGGCCTTAGACGTGAGCAAGGTGAATAGGTTTCAAAGGTAAATAGGTTTCAGTTCCGTTAGGCAAATTCGATGGATCCGATGGAAGTGATAAGCTTTGATTACATGGCCCTAGTTTGCCACATACTGAAATGATTTGCCTTCCTTCCACCAGGCGATAATATTTCCGAGATACTTTACTCTTTTCTGAGTGGAAAACTTCTTGAACCACTGGTCAAAATTTCCAATGAAATTGTTGCGGGATTGGAAGAGGTGAGGGGCGTCGTACAGAACGGATGCTTTTTTGTCACAAACTTTGAAATAAGAACCCGGGATGTCGATAAATTTCCTCGTCTCCTCCTGCAATACTTTCAGAGCACTGCATACTGCGGCGACGAAATTCAGCCCGGGTAAACTTATTTGCAAGTTTCCTTCAAACTTTTTTTTCCAAGGAAAAATCAGCGAAAAGCATTAAAAGGATACATGCAGGAAAATAAACCAGCAGAAATAAATTTCTACGCTGATGTATTAGGTGTACAAATTAATTCTCAGCCCCTAGATTAAGTTGATCAGAATACCTACTTGAATTGAAAGAATTCCCCACAATAAACGGCGTTTTGAAGCGCCATCTGTAAACTATCAAACCACTCAAGTCCGATTGTGGTGTCATCAACACAACCTCAAAAAACATAGTGAATAAAAATGCCGTTCGACAAGCAGCACTTGAAGCACTGCCTTCTTTTCACCATCCAACTTGGAAAAACTGCCACAGACACCCAAGAAATGATTCATTCGGCCTTGGGAGGGAGTGCTGTATCTTATAGCACATGTAAAAAGTGGTTTAAAAAATTTCGGGATGGAAATTTTGATCTCCAGGATGAGGAACGTCCTGGGCAACCAAAAACAGTTGAGGACCAGAAGTTGGACAACTTACTCAATGAAAATCCCTGTCAAACACAACAGGAGCTTGCTGCTACTCTTGGAGTGACCCAGCCAGCTATTTCGGTGCGTTTGAAAAGAATANGGATGGAAATTTTGATCTCCAGGATGAGGAACGTCCTGGGCAACCAAAAACAGTTGAGGACCNACCTGGAAAAATTGCCGCAGAAGCATAAGAATAGATTCGTTCGGCCTTGGCAGGCAGTGCTGTATCTTATAGCATATGTAAAAATAGTTTTAAAAATTTCGGGATGGAAATTTTGATCTCCAGAATGAGGAACGTCCTGGGCAACCAAAAAAGTTGAGGACGAGGAGTTGGAAAACTTACTCAATGAAAATCCCTGTCAAACACAACAGGAGCTTGCTGCTACTCTCGGAGTGACTCAGCCAGCTATTTCGGTGCGTTTGAAAAGAATAGGGAGGATACAGAAGGAAGGTCGTTGGGTGCCCCATCATCTTACCTCAGAAAACAAAAGTCGACACTGTGAAATTGCAATGTGACTACTGACCAGATTCAAACAAAAAGACTTTTTACATATAATTGTGACTGGGGATGAAAAGTGGATATTTTACGACAATCCTAAGAGGCGAAAGTCGTGGGTTTATCCGGCGGAGCCGTCAACTAGCACTGCAAAACCGAACATTCACGGGAAAAAATTGTTGTTGTGTATTTGGTGGGATTCCAAAAGTGTAATCTATTATGAGATACCCGAACAAGGGGAAACCGTCATTGCTTAGCGTTATCAGGCCCAACTGGTGAAATTGATTGATGCTATTGAGTAAAAGAGACCTTTTACTGGTAGTGGTACGAGGCAAGTGATTTTGCTGCAGGACAACGCGCGGCCACACACGGCAAAATAAACCCTCAAAGTTATCCCCACGTTGAGCTGGGAAATTCTCCCACAGGCGGCGTATTCTCCAGACCTTGCGCCTTCTGACTATCACCTTTTTCGGGCGCTACAACATCACTTGGTGGATACGTAGTTTCGATCTCCTGAAGAAGTCCAGCAGAGCATTGATGACTTCATCCAATTAAAACCACCATCTTTCTTTCGAGCCGGAATCTGACAATTGCCCGATAGATGGGAGAAATGCGTGCAAACTGATGGTGATTATTTTCAAGATTAGATCTGTATTCATTTTTTTAGAAATAAATGTCAGAATTGTCGAAAAAAGGCCGAGAATTAATTTATACTACTAATACACAACAACAATTTTTTGTCGTGAATGTTCGGTTTTGCAGTGCTAGTTGACGGCTCCCCCGGATAAACTCATAACTTTTGCCTCTTAGGATTATCGTCAAATATCCACTTTTAATCCCCAGTCACAATTTTATATAAAAAGTCTCTTTGTTTGAATCTGGTCAGTAGGCACATTGCAATTTCACAGCGTAGACTTTTGTTTTCTGAGGTAAGATGATGGGGCACCCAACGACCTTTCTTCTGTATCCTCCCTATTCTTTTCAAACGCACCGAAATAGCTGGCTGAGTCACTCCGAGAGTAGCAGCAAGCTCCTGTTGTGTTTGACAGGGATTTTCATTGAGTAAGTTTTCCAACTCCTCGTCCTCAACTTTTTTGGTTGCCCAGGACGTTCCTCATTCTGGAGATCAAAATTTCCATCCCGAAATTTTTAAAACTATTTTTACATATGCTATAAGATACAGCACTGCCTGCCAAGGCCGAACGAATCTATTCTTATGCTTCTGCGGCAATTTTTCCAGGTTGGAAGGTGAAAAGAAGGCAGTGCCTCATGTGCTGCTTGTCAAACAACATTTTTATTCACCATGTTTTTCGAGGTTGTGTTAATCACAGCACAATCGGAATTGAGTGGTTTTATAGTTCACAGATGGCGCTTCAAAACGCCGTTTATTGCGGGGAATTCTTTTAATTCAAATAGGTGTTCTGATCAATTTAATCTACGGGCCGAGAATTAATTCATACACCTAATAGCACTTCCTGTTCTGGGCATGTTATTTTATAATTCCTCGGGAGAGTAATTAATAAATATACATGAGGCAAACCTCGTTTTTGGAATTCAATCACCTAGACATATGCTTAAACTTTTCCGAAAATGTCTTTTTCGGTCGATCGCAGGGAAGTCGCTCATTTAAATTCTCCTAGACTTCTCTTCAATGTGGATTGCACGTCATAGTTATGAAGAGATAAGTTTTGCCAGATTTTTGTACGACGGCCATAGCGTCTTGATAATTTTGAGCCATATTGCGTAGAGATCCAATGAATGTAACAGATAAAATAATCATTTTTCCAATAGTACTATTCGAATATTGCGCCGTATTCTCCATAATATCAATAACTCCTTGATAATTTCCTAGTTTGAGTTCATCTTGATGTGTTCGGCAATATTCCATGCTATCCCGCTCGATTTCAACATAACTATCAACAATTCATTGCTGGAATGATCTACCACCACACAAGAATAGTACATTGTGATATAAGGGCGATGAGTGGCAGGTTATGACGAGTGTGAAGTTTGTTGCACGAGCGGAAGGCGGGTGCAATAAACACACGAGTCATAACCTGTCACTTATCGACCGAATATCACATACTATTTTATGTCGAGGCTAAAGTAAAAAAATGCGACAAATTCGGTGGAGGGGTGGGGTGGGGGCACAGGCAGGGGGTCCAGTGGGACGAAATCTATCATTAAATGAAAAATAATCATTTTCAAAACTCCATAACACGATTTTTGACACAATCAATTTCCTTTGAACCGCAAAGAACTCCCTTTCAAAATTTATTGAATTTTTTTTTTCATTTTTATTGATAATTTGATCGCAGAAATATCCAACTATCCCAAAGAGAATAATTTTTGAAATCCAGTAATCTCATTTTGAACATGATTAACTTTTATTTGAATCACAATAAACATTATTTGAACAAAAAATATGCATTTTCGATATTTTCGCGATATTTTGAACACAAGAAACACTGTTTTAACGAAAAATATGATTTTGTCATATTTTTGGAAATTTTTTTCGCTTTTTCCTTCATTTTCTATTTTTTTTCTCATTTTCCAATTTTTTACGACTCCAAAACAACAATTCAATCCTTATCCTAATTTTTTGAACACAATAAACATTATTTCAACAAAAAATACACTTTAGCGATATTTTCGCGATATTTCGAACACAAGAAACACTGTTTTAGTGAAAAATACGATTTTGCGATATTTTTGGAATATTTTTTCGCTTTTTTCTTCATTTTCTATTTTTTTTTCTCATTTTCCAATTTTTTACTACAAAATAACAATTCAATCCTTTTTCTAATTTTTTGAACACAATAAACATTATTTCAACAAAAAATTCACTTTAGCGATATTTTCGTGATATTTCGAAAATAATCAACATTGTTTTAATAAAAAATACGATTTTGCGATATTTTCGCAATATATATATATTTTTTCTTCTTCATTTTCTTTTTTCTTTCTCATTTTCAAATTATTTTTTACCACAAAACAACAACAAACCATGAAAAGCAAAAAAAAATTATGAACTCCGGAATTACATTTCGATAGGGTTGGATCCTAAGAATTTGATGTGAACATATAAAGTAACAATTTCTTCCTATTACCTCATTTTTTTTCTCCTTTTCCTATTTTCTCTTGACCCCCAAACAAGTACAGAATAGGGTTCCCTCAATATTTTTAAAGAGGAAGAAAGAGATTTAGTTTCAATTTGACATTTCATCGTTTTGTCTATCATCGTTTTTTTTCTGGACCATAATTGTCAGATTTGGACAATTATTGAAACTCATGGTAACATTCAGGGGAAGGTCTCGGCGGTGAATAATTGGCAGAATATTTTCCTTGAATGCTTCTGCATTACCAGTCATTGAAATAGCTTCAATTGTAACTGGTCCCACTCCAACTGCTCCCTTCACAACAACTTTCCCTCCATGTGTTCCCTTTCCCCCTGGCCTTGCTCCATTTGGACACCCTTCGACTGCTCCCTTTGAGACTGTTTCAGCACCAGCTGCCGCTCCTGCAACTCACAGATCCACCTCCAACTGCTCCCTTAGCCACAGAACCGCCTCCAATGGCTCCCTTATCTACAGATTCACCTCCAACTGCTCCCTTACCCACAGATGCACCTCCAACTACTGCCTTACCCACAGATCCGCTTCCAACTGCTTCCTTCCCCACAGATCCACCTCCAACTGCTCCCTTACCCACAAATCCACCTCCAACTGCTCCCTTACCCACAGATCCACCTCCAACTGCTCCCTTACCCACAGATCCACCTCCAACTGCACCATTAGCCACAGATCCTCCTCGAAGTGCTTCTCCTTCGACTGGGCCTTCCCCAACGTTCACATTCTTGATTTCTTTCAAACTGGGAACCTTTGCCGTCATGGAAAATGCTCCCAGTGAAATGGGAACGATTGGCGACCTCGATGTCTGCGATTTGACTCCAGAAACTTGATTTCTCGTCATTGGTCCACGTAGTTTTGCACCAGAATGTCCATGACTCAATGACACTCCAGCCTGTTGGTGCCTCGAAGCCAAGGAAAACCCTCCAAATGGAATTTCAACATTGCGAGAGGTTGATGGATGTGGTTCCATTCGAGAGTGATGTCCAGTTGCAGAGTAGCCTTGTTCCATATTCCCTGAATGGAACCTCTTGGGTGGTCTTGCATTCATTATGGAGTTGCTGATTTGGTCAGATACTCGATTCTTCTTCAACAGAGACTCAGCGACGTATCCCTCAGCGACTGCCTCAGAGCGCTACCCTCCATGCCTCCTCAAAGTCAGCGTACTGGCTCCCGCATTGACTAGTATAGTTGCAGAGCTACGACGAAAGGCATGGCCTGTGTAAAGCTGTGGATTTGCGAGCCGAAGGTGTCTGGCAATCTCCCTTGGCATGGATCCAAATATTTGATGCCAATGACTTGTCGAATGCATCGTCCATTTTGATACTTGAGGAAAAAATTGTCGTTCGGAGCATTTGGAGGACGTTGATTAGCGTAACGTCTCACGAAATTAAACAATGGCCCACGAATTGTGAACTCCCGAGGAACATCATTTTTGGTCTCTCGAATCTTCACTAAACAAGACTGCTCGTGCCACTCGATGTCATCTGTTGTAAGTTTATGGACCTCAACTCTCCTGCAACCTCCCTGGATTGCCATAATCATTGCAACCTGCACAAAAAAAATATAATTTTGAAAACAGGCACGAAAAAAATGCATGGAAAAATTCATAGAATATGATGGTTCTAGCTTCTTCTATTGAAATATTTTCTATAGAAATTCCTCGGCTCCAATTTTCCAAGTTTTTTTCGCTTGATTTTCTTCAGCATAAGAGAAGAAAAATACCGTGGAAAAAAATGGAAAATTCATGTCGAGGAGTCCAAATAGAAAATATCTCAATAAAATCGGTTGTATAAAAAAATCCGAATCCTATTGATTTTTTCAGAAAAAAATAAATATTGAAATCAATTGAAAAAAATCAAATGAGTTTTAATTAATAGAGTTTTAATTAATTTCAATGGTTCATTTCATACGTATCACTATTTTTTTTTAACAATTTTTCATCTTTCTGAGAGTTTAAGTTGATTTTTCTCGAGTTTTCATGTTTTTATTTCTTCAAAAAAATTTTTTTTTTCACTTACTTTTGTTGCCACCTATTGGTTATCAGAAGCATACACGAGGAAATCGTAGACATTTTCTTTGGTAAATACTTCGGATTTTTTGCTCTTGAACCCTTTCCCATTGTTCCTCAAAAAAGCTGTCAATTTTGAATACTGGGAAATATCGACGTTGTTGTAATTCTTCAGGCAAGTCCTTAACATCGAGTAAATTGCCCACAGAGACGATGGTTTCATTGTTCTGGATAAGAAACTGAAGTAGCCCAGTAGGACTGCCTCGGTTAGACTCTTGATTTTTTTTCTGCACTCCACTCCATAAATCGTCTGTAATTATTGTCGTAAGCATCCTTGGATTTTTGAGGCATCAGTTTCTCTGATGCTTCTGCAATGCACTACAAGACATCTGTAGGTAGATCATCGTCTCCATCCTCAGGTGAGGAATTATCCTCACCGAGAGCGTTGTTCTCCGCCTCGTTGGAATTCTGTTCTTCCTCGGGAAAAATGGGAGTTTTTTCATGATCGGAGACAAACTTCTCAGGACTTTCAGGTATATTGAACTCCTTATCACTGTCAGGAACAATAGTCTCCATGTTTATCAGCTGCTCAACTCTTTTTCGGATAACTCACTCTCGTTTTTATGATATTATTCGTGAGACGCACGGCAGTTAGTACACGTAACTCGACCAAACAACTGAATCTTGTTATTTGTGTAACCAACGACAACGTCAACAGGACTGGACTCCATTGCACATTGTGGCTCACGTCATGGGGTTGCGCTCGCACCGTTTTCTATTCATCGTTTTCTATTCATGCCATGGGCGGCGCTAGTGGCGCTTGTTTATGACCCTAGACGTAGCTTATCGCATCAAGGAATTGCTTAATGCACAAGGTCATAATACGCAACTTACTGCACACAAAACAATGCAATAAGTCGCATTTTTTACGTAGCCGTGACATAAAGGATTGAATGAACATTAAACTGCAATCAAATTCTTCACATATGCCGAGCATAAAATACGTTTTGAACTCCGCAAACGAGGCAGATCTCTATGCCAACCGTCTGTGCCATAAGCATAGGAGAGAGGATAAACCCAAGGTTCTAATATTGGGTTCATTGAACTTACATATTCCAATTTATTTATAGACTGATTTCGAAGTGTCACGTACACACGTGACACTTCCTCCGATGGAGGAATCCCTGATACATTATCAGGGATTCCTCTATCGGCAGTGGTGGTGAAAATGGCAGGTACTTCATTTGAACGTTGAAGACTGTAGCGACCTACTTGAATGCCTCGTTTTCGACTAAAAATAATTTTTACGTCTGGCATTGGTTGTCCATTTTTTCTTGATTTTTTTCCAGCTTCTTAATTTCGACTTTCATCATATTGTAGGATTGGGCGAAACGATTCTCTTTTCTCATTATTTTATCCAGTACTTGTAATAGGGTAGGGTTTAAATCAGGATTGTATTCGATTCGGTTGTTCTTTGCTTCGGAAGGATCCATAATGAATAACTGCTCAAAAGATGCGATTTGATTTGGTTCTGGTCTGATTGCAGTATTAATTTGATAATAAATATGCCCTTTGACTTGAAACAATACCCTGAACGCTGTCCATTGAAATTGACCAAATTGGTGTTGAATGAAGCAAAGGGTAAAGAAGTGTTATAACTTCTTATATGGTTTAAAAATTCTCTTGAATTATCATGAGAGCCTTCGAACAAGGAACGAAGTTCATCCGGAAATTGCCTGAAAGATGCTATCGGCACAGCACCATAACTACATTAATCATTGAACGATTGTCTTCCATGTGAAACAATTTCTCCTTCATAATGTTTGGCTTGACAATATCAACATTGGATGTTCATCGATCCAAGATGATGCTCTTGCAAGTTAGTCCTCTTTATTTTCTCTTCTCTCTTCATTTCTCTTCATTTTCCCACACGTTAAAAAATTGACATCCCTTTTTTCATTAATTTTCGTTGTTTTTGACGTCTCCGGTGTTGTGTAGCGTTTTTTCGTTCTTGCTGTTTTTGCTTAAAATTTCGTTGGATTCTGAGTTACTCTTCGACGTGACATCTTCCTATAATTAATGATATAGTTACAAGCCACCAGCATAATATGACCGAGAACAATACGAAGACGTAGGAATTGATGAAAATTTCATATTTTCAGAAAAAAAATAATGGATGTAAATACTTATTTTGAATTCTCGCGGTCCACACTCGTAATTTGCCCTCCACTCTAGGAAACTTAACGATTTTGAGTATATGCAGAGAACCTTGAGAGGAATATCTGATTAATTTTGAAGTTTGAGTCGAATTCAAAACAGAATTTAAGGATGTATACACCCTTTTCGTCAAAATTCATGTTTTTTGGATTTTTCTGTTGAATTGTTGATCGGATTGACGTGAAAAAATATACCGTTTTTGCGTTTTATAATTACTTAATGGCTCACGAAATTTCACGATCGTACAATTATGTTCCTGCGTTTTTTCTAAAACTTTTCGAAAATTCACAAAACTTTAGAAAAAATGCAGGAAAATGATTGCACTATCATGAAACTTCGTGAGTCAGTCAATGATGATAAAACGTAAAAACGGTATATTATTTCGCGTCAATCCGATCAATAATTTGCCAGAAAAATGAAAAAAACGTGAATTTTGGCCGAAAAGGTGTAGTACATCTTTAATCGATCGCAATCTTGGCCATTCAAATTTTACCATGAGATGAAATTGATCCGTCAGTTTGAATAGAACCTTCTCTCAACGTAAATTGATGATTCACGCGGTTCGCACTTTTGAGGTTGTCTCCATTGTATTTATCACAACGTCCGGAGCACAGGAAAAGCTTTTTTTTTCCTTAAAAAATGTACGAACTTAAGAATGCAACTTACATGCAACTCCTTACTTATAATTACTCATAATTATAGAAGGGGAATAATTCATCAGTGACCTGTGTGGTTCACATGAACTACACAGATCACTGATATCTCACGTTTCAACACTTGCAATGTGATTTGGAATTTTGTTGGACCAGTTATTTTCTCTCCAAAAATATATCAGTAAGCTTTTTTGTCTCCCGATTTCACTGCTCACGATCAGGTTTCGTACATTTTAATCTACCGATGACCATTTTAAAAAATGGAGGGAAGCTTAAACAGTACAGACTGATATCAAAATGTCACTAATTTCATTTCATTTCGAGCTGTTCTTTCTTTTGTTTTTTCAAATGCACACGTGAGGTTGAGTAATACATGAAAATGTAAGTTTCTCAGAATTTACTCTTTTCGATTCTAGTTTCCCTTATGAAAATTCATCTAAATGAAATCAAAGTCAACGAGGAGTCGACTTGAGACGAGTCGAGACGATCTTCAATAAAATTAATTCTCAACAATTTTTAACATCAATAATTTTCGCCACAACTTATCTCAAGCTTAACACACACCAACGCAAAACTTACCGTGGGCGCCAGTCTATTCTAATCTGGCCAAATAGACAAATGCCAATATCCCCCACAATTTTACAGCTCGAACGTAGCTCGCCTCGGAATCTTAACCTCAAGAGGGAGAAGAATCGTTGCCTCCTATTGGGCTCTCGAACATCCAAGAAATTAACTCAAAATACGAACTTCATGCTCCAAAGAAACTGGTGTATTATCCAATATTAACAAAATAAAAACAGGCAATAGAAAAATGAAGAGAATTGAAAATATATACAAAGAATAATGAAAAGAAAAGAAAACCATGAAAATTCGTGTGGACCACTCACCCTTCTCAGCGTGAAAACCAAATCATAACGGCGGAAAAAATTCTGTTTTTCCCACTCTCTCAGTCAATAAAGATTAATATTACGCTGGGAAAAATTCCGAGCATCCAAATAAGGTATTTACAGAAATATGGCGTCGCTATCGACGCCAACAACGATCTCGCCTCGTCAAATGGTCTCTCAATATTTCGAAGAATAAATTCAGTCTCAATAAATATAAGCTCAGAGTCAGAGCCACGCTTGACTTTCCAAAATAATCATTAAACTCAGAAAATCTAGTTGATAG